AAACAGAAAGGGGGCTAGTGTTGCGTGACCACAGAGCCCAGGGACAACCGCTTGAGGCCGGTCACGCACGACCTGTATGAACTGGTTTCTTGGATTGGTGCCGTATTAGTAAACTTACGCCGGTTTCGGACTACCGTAGGATAATTCGGGATGTACAATTGTTGGGATCGACCTTTTCTAACCCCCTCTCTCCAGAGTGGAGAGACAACATAGCTGGCTGGCGTGCTGGCCATCTGAGGGGAACACCTTACTGCTGCTACATCCCTGTCCCACAGACCCCTAGCATAGTGCAAAAAGAAATTCTTACACTATGCGAGTAACTGCCCTTAGTCTAATCGCTATCCCAACAACCTTCCTGGCGTGGCAGGACCTGCAGGAATATTTGTTCCGGACAGTGTAGCTTGTTGGGTCGTTGAGATATGAGAGCAGCTATCGGTTGGGACAAATGGAAATGGGTTAAGTGTTTAAATGCGTTGACCGCTCCACTTGTTCAGAAAGCCATATCAGCTCTAATGGTGAACTATTCGCTGAATAGATCTTAGCACTGATAGAACAGGGTGGTTTGGCGCTCATCGAGTTGTATCACGTTTGACACTGGAGTACTATTCGGATACCCGTCAAAGTGCACAGATATACTGTGTAGCTGTCCTATCTCTCATACTGAGTGATGACCGAACACGGTCTTTAAAAATAGGTATGGAATATTAGCGTTTTTCGATCACGAGTGCCTTTCTTCGATTGCTCGCGTTACGTGGAGTTTTTTAAAGGTAATAAGGTTAAGCGTATGGTGTTATATGTGGATCGTTGCTGTTGTATCTTAATCTGTTGAGATAGCGTAGATATATTTTTTCAAGTTGAGTAGTAGTTGACTTGAGTAATAATAGCTGAAGTAAGGCTAGTTTGAAAAAATCTACGAGTCGCTGCACCAAATTATGGCTTGCGCTTCATAAAGTTATTGATTATATGTCGTAGTCATGCAAATTAGTGCAGATTACCAGCCTGAGTTCATCTAGATACTAAGAATTGATGGACACGAACTGTTATTGCGGTCATATTAACAAAAATATGTTCAGCGAAGACTTAATCTCTTAAGCGATATCATTCTCAAGCTGTACAGTCATATATATATATATATATATATATATATATATATATATATATATATATATATATCCAAAGATGTGTTATTAGAATTATAAATTTTAGGTGACAAATGCGGTTGTACAAAAGGCGTTAATCGGTCAGAAGCCAAAATAAAATAAGTAAATTGAATGATGCAATATAATTGACGGGTTGAGTACAGTTCAATTAAAATTGAACGAGTCAAGTTAACAAAAGTGGTACTAAGAGGTGGAAATGTAACACGGGATGACGGAAGAAAACAATGCAATAAATATGACAAAACACAGAAATTACGTATTTGGTGTTAATACAGATCAAGTCCATTGTAGATTTAATGACTGAGCTGTCTGTCTGTTTTCGACATAAAACTTTGCACATATGTGCGGGAGTTCAAGTCGCCACACTCCATGTAGCACACAAAGCAAGAGAAGAAAGTAGAAGAAAAGCATAATAGAGACAGTAAACAAAGGTGTGAGACAAAGGAAGAGTAATGACGAAGAACAAAACAGCTTCATTGGAAATCATAAGTCATAAGGAGTGGATGCATCTGCTCCACTGAGAACGATTTTGAGGCATGTCACCAATTGTTTCCAACCATTGGATTTTACCGTCCCGAGGACCCCAACCAGGAAGTCTACACTTTCCTACGTGGCTTAGACTAACTTTTGTAGATTTCATTGACTGGTGCTACGTTTTTGTTTGACCGCCGCTAGCTTTTTTCCAGCCTGACCCTATATCCGCTAACATTGCTCGTCGAGGAAGGCGATGACTAGCAATACATAACACATGTCCTAATCATCTCAGTCGACGTAACTTCACAACTTCGTCGATTGATTTCCCCTGTTCACCTAGCACTCGACGCCTAACCTCAATATTGCTCACCTTATTATACCACTTCACACGGGAGATAGAACACAGGCACCTATGATCAAAGAGAGCTAATCTTTTCATGTCTTCCACTCTCAGTGGCCAGGTCTCACAGCCATAAATGAGGACGGAGCGGACTGATGAGCAGTACACCCGCCCTTTGGTCGATACATGGATATCTCGTCTACTCCAGAGACGGCGTAAACTGGCAATTGCGAAACTAGCCCTCTGTATCCGTGCTGAGATTTCATCAGAGATCAACCCGTTGGGACTGATGGTACTTCCCGAATAAGTGAAGCGGACAACGTGCTCTACCACTTCACTCCCGATTTCTGATCTAGGAGTCGGTGTAGTCCAGTACTGTAACATCATCTTACATTTGGCGGGAGCGAATCGCATGCTAAGCATTCGTAGATAGCAGCTCAAGCTGTTCAGAAGACTCTGCATTTTGTCAGCGTCCTCGCCTAGAAGGACTACATCGTCTGCATATTCTAAGTCAACGAGATTATTCCCTGGTAGCAAGTCAATCCCTAAGTCGCTGAAGTCACTTAGGGTTAAGTCCATTAGTACATCTATGATGAAGTCAAATAGAAAAGGGGATAATGGGCATCCTTGACGGACACCACTAGTCGTCATCAGTTCAGATGACAACTCGCCGTAAGCCCTCACCTGGTTGTATGAGTACGAGTAGAGTGCCTTAATCAGTGCAATGTATTTTCTCGGGATTCCCTTTACAGCCAAGAATCGCCAGAGAACTTCTCGGTCGACAGAGTCGAATGCCGCCTTTAGGTCAAAAAATATAATGATTGTTGGAAGCCGGTAGGAATGTCTATGTTCTACAATCTGTCGAAGGGTGAAGATATAATCAATAGACCCTCTTCCTGGTCGTCTGAAGCCTGCCTGATTCTCTCGTGTTTGTGCTTCCCGAGCACCGCTTAGTCTACGCATGATTATTGAACCTAGGGCTTAAGATACTATATTAGTCAAGCTAATCCCTCTGTGATTATCACAGGAAGACTTGTCTCCCTTCTTGTATATGGGGATAATCAGTGACTTACACCAATCCGATAGGACTTCTTCTGATTCCTAGACGCTGCTTAGAACCTCAGTTAACGCTGACAGTAAACTGTCTCCACCATACTTAAATACCTCTGGAGTGATTCCATCAGGTCCCGCTGCTTTGCCTTGTTTCAGATTGTTGACAGCTTTAGTAACCTCAGTTAGGGATGGAGGACCTGTGTCTATATCCCATTCGGGTGTGTGCTGGATGGCGGAGAGGTTCAGTGTGGCTGTAGGCAAGTTTAATTGTTCCTCAAAATGTTCTTTCTAGCGTTCAAGGCGTCTATCCTGGGAGCTAATTATGATGCAACTTTTCTCCGAGATTGTTTCACTTATGATTTGCCTTCTCCCACCCGTTTCCCTGATGATTCGGAAGAGATGCCTAGTGTTGCCTATCGCCGATGCTTTTCCATCTCTTTCGCCTTTGTCACCCACCACTGTTCACGGTCCTTGCGGAGACTTTTCGTAAGTTTCCTTCTGTGCAACTTTCGCTCCTCATTGAATTCGGAGCTCGCCGGAATAAGTCTTCTAGCATCTATCAGTTCGGATTAGGCAGTCGAAATCCAATGGATTTTACTCACCTTTGGATTTACCTTATTCACAGCAAACTTCTTTTGTATGCAGAGTTCAAGATTTATCATGTGAACTATCATTGTTTCTGCAGTTTGAAGAAGTTTGATTGGTACTCTTCTAGCAAGATTCGCACGTATTCTGTAGATGACTTTGACGTTCCTCTGTGGGTTAGCTTGGTGTTTTTAATCCATCAGGCGTTCAAGGGTAAGGCTGTGGGGGATCTTTTTTCTCCTGTATAAAACCACTAGGGTAAGTGTTCGATGATACGTTTGGAGGACAAACACTGGGTGTGGCTGGCATACCTAGCTCCACACGAGCAAGTGAATTAATAGGTACACATTGACGAGGCCAGCAGTTTTTGCTTATCCTTCACGTTTATGAGAATCGTTGGTTTTGTAGAGAAAGTTAGTCGAAGTTAAGCCTCTAAGAAGGTTTCTTCAATGAGCGGGACGGGCGGATGATTATGAGTCTCCATTGAATTGTAGATTCAGGTAAGGAAGTCTTGGGGGCTGGAAGTGTGGGCGGTTTTAGTGGTTTAGGCTTCGTGGACTTTATGGTGAAACGTTCCGCGTAGTCATTTTCAAGGTGGATTCTTCTCAAAGCTTTCAGATCCTCTTCAATAGTGTCAGGGCTACAAATGCTGTGGATTCTGTAGCTCGATGAACGGATTAGGTTTCGTTTTGCATATAGAGGTACCTAACTATGAAAGTTGGTGGGTTGTCCTTTCCATATCGGGTTTCTGTAGATGGATCATTTTAGTGTTCCATCTTGTTCACGTCTTGTTAGTTGAATGTCCAGAAAAGATATTTTTATGTCAGACTCCTCTAATGTGAACTGGATTTCAGGGTGGCAGCCGTTGAAAAAGTCCAGAATTTCCTGCATTTTTCAGTGGGTTTTTTTAAGTTGTTACTGAGATGACTCAAAATCATCCACGATGATAGGGATGCACTCATTTCTTGTTATCTTCCAGATTGTAGAGAAATTCAACATTCCTAATGTGATGACTGTCTCCTTTACATTTATTTTCGTCTATAGTATTAATTTTACGTTGATATTTTCTTACCTTGTACATTTTTTTGAAGTGTGGCAGCTCAGAATGAATAAGCGAAATTGCACTCAGTACTTCGCAAACTGAATTATTATTTCTATATGTCCAAATCAAGTTCACTTTTAACGGTTTGAAAAAATTTGGGCATTGGGTATATGATATTCATTATAATAAAGGTTTTTCGTATTTCCTAATGAATGAAAAACCTTTACTATAATGAATTATTATTTCTCTCTACCTAATGCTACGTTTATAACTCTTGGAAGTGATTAACACCTTTTTTCTAAAAAAATTCTAATACATTACTGCTTCTTATTTTTCCAATTCCCAGACTGAACCACCATTGAATACTCCAGAGAATCGTGAATATACTGCTGAAATAATGTTTGAAACATTTAATGTTCCCGGGCTTTACATTGGTGTACAGGTAAAAACAAATAACTCCTGCTTTACTCTTAATAAGGTTAATGTAATAATGTTTTCCACTAAGTTTTTCTCGAAAGTGATACGTTAGATCGTTGAAAAGAATAGGCACAATCGTAGATTTAGTTCTTACGTATACTTGCATACCTAGGTGTTATTTATTATTATTATTATTCCAATCGGTTCAGAGTGGAACATAGGGCTCCAAAAACCCATCTCCGCTCTATTTTGTTCCCTGCTATCTTTTTTAGCTGACCCCACGATTGTTCATATGCTGGCATATCCTCACACGATCTACTCCATGTCACACTCGGACAGCCGACTCGTCGTTACCCCATTTCGGTTCCACTCGAGCGATTGCCTGGCTCTTGATGTCACTCATCAGTGTCTCTACTGTTTGTTCGATCCATCTCTGTTTCCTTTGGCTTATTTATTGGGTAATAGGTCCTCGATTAACCGGTCGCGCATCAAAGTTCATCGTTGCTCATCCTTTCTGGACATTTAATCTTCAGTATGCGGCCAAGGTAGGCAGCTGATGATGAAAGTATGCAGCCTGATGGAAATGCTTTCGGTGACGCGGCAGGTTTTTGAACCATATAGAAGCACTGACTGACCTGATATTCTTGGAAATTTGAATCTTTTATGCTGGGTGCAACGGATTTCTTCATTGATTTTGGATCAGTGAAGGTCTCTCTTGCTTTTGCGATCCTGACTTACTGTGAAACTCACATCCGTGCCAACGACTACCTGTCATTGAAACAATGCTACCTAGATAAGTGAAAGAGGTGACTTTCTTTAGATTTTTCTTGTTGAAGGAAATCTATGCTATTTTGAAAATTTCGAATCTATAGTCTGTTAGAGCACTAACTTGAATATCATTTAACCATTTAAGTAGTTATATACTCTCAGAAATGAATATGTTGACAGTTTAGTTGGCACAACTCACCATTAACAATAAATATATAAATGTCAGGTTGATTACTTGTAGGTAATCAACATTTTCACTTACACTGATGTTATATGGAGCCTAAATAACTAGTTTGTTATAAACTCCATCTTCTAGTAACGCTATGAAAAGAAGTTATTGTGTTATGTGCACAAGTATGATCTGTCAAACAATATAAATTTTCTTAAGGTTACACTTGTACACTATACTGTTAGATATACAGACATCCAGATAAAATTACACTAATTATTGCGTATGTGCGGCTTTTTAGCGTCTGTATTAAGTTATTGTTGCTCGAAGTGTTTGAAAATTACTACATTGTATTCTTATTTTGTTTACTTCAAAGGCTGTACTAGCGTTAGCTGCTTCATGGTATTCTAATCGAGCTGGTCGTTTACTTACTGGAACTGTTATTGATTCCGGTGATGGTGTTACGCATGTCATACCTGTAGTCGATGGTTATGTGATTGGTTCATGTATTAAACATATACCAATAGCTGGACGTGATATTACATCTTTCATTCAACATCTGCTTAGAGAAAGGGAAAGTCATATCCCACCTGAATTGAGTATGGAAGTTGCGAAGCAGATTAAAGAACGGTTAGTCTAACAAATTCTTCTTATCTATATATTCTATTAATGTGTACGCTGTAGAATTAAGTGTAAAGTTATCTCTTCTCAAAATGATATACTTGGTCACTGAAATTATTCAGCTGAGTAATCCTGGTTTACATGTTTGACTATTAGTTAGAGGGGTGTTGGAAAACGAGGGAGTAGTAGACAACTGTTTCTTCATCGTTTAGGACTCTCCAGAAGTGCGCACCCACCAGGGTTCGAACCCAGAACCTTCCGGTTACAAGGCGAGCTCGTAAATCATTCAGCCACTGGGACTTTATCCGTAGCCCGCGAATTCCAGCTTCGTGATCGAACCTGCAACCAATCAAATCCATGTAAACTAACACTTGTTTCGCTGTTAAGGATGAGATTATGTAAAATGGTATGCTTGAGGTGTTTATGTGTCTTATGCACCTGTATTGGACATTGGGTTGATGTATTATCAATGTTGGTTAAATTAGTGCTGTCATTAAATCACCCGTTACTAATCTGTATTGTAAAGAGATACCTAGTCTTCTTTGATGTCGTCAATCTGTAATGATTACAAATGTATGTTAAATTAGGGAAATGTATGTATTCTACATCTAGTCTTCACTTGCTTATTAATTCCTGCACGTATTTCTTCTCTTGTGTTGATGTTTTAAATTTTCTGAATCGTAATTGCATAACATTTTTGAATTTGGTTGATAGAATTGGAGCATAGGGATTCAACAACACATCTCCACTTTGTTCTGTTTTCTGTTGTCCTCTTCAGCTGAACAGTTGGCTCTTAGTAGGTTTGTTGCCAGAGTTTCTTCTAAGTAGTTCTTTCTGGCCATTTGAGTTTTAGTTTGCAGCCAGCTAAAGAGACAGCTGTTGATAAAAGTGCGCAACCTGCTGGAAATCCCTTTCGTGACACAGCTCCCACGTTTCTGACCCACATCGAAGCAGTGACTGACTGACTTCACATTTATGTTGAACAGAATCCGAATCTTATTATTTATGCTGGCTGAGTGCAATGCAGAAGATTTCCAATTTAGTTTCAGGTTGATGGAGGCTTGTCTTGCCTTTCCGATTCTGGTTGGCTGGCTGGCTTTGACATCTTCATCCGTTCCAACTGCCTGTGATTAAAACCGTGCTTCCTAGATAATAAGTGAAGTCAGGAAGTAAACTCTGTCAAATATCTCATGTTGATGGTGATTAGTAATGGTTGTTGTCGCTGTTGGTTGGTTATCTTCATCACCTCCGTCTTCTCTAAGTTCACCTGGTGTTCTGTCTTCATTGTCCGCTTCTTTAGCAAGTTTGTTGGTTTTTTCCTGCAGGTCTTCAAGTTTGCGTGACATTAGACATATATCATCCGTGGCCTGATTCTCTGACGCGTAGACCTATGGCTGATGATTTTTCAAGCAGGAAATCAAACTCAGAAGAAATGAACATCGGAGAGCGTCTGTTCGACCATCGAGAAACCCAGATGAATAAGAAAAGCTTGAAAAATCATCAGCCATAGGTCTACACGCTATAAAATCAGGCCACAAAATAGATTTTGACAATATTGAAGTAATCCAGAAAAATTTCAGATACCACAAAGAACGTCTAACATCAGAAGCACTTCATATCAAATAGAATCCAAATTGTCTCAATAGGAATGATGGACTACAGCAGAATTTGAGCTGGTTACAACACCCCACCTACCTCCTACCATGAAATGACAAAATCAACACGAATGTGATTAGCAATTTCATTATGTAAACATACACTGCTTTTATAGTTTTATACACCTATGAAATTCAAAAATCTCTACCTAGTTTTGTTATCTTTACCGATTGATCAACTTGACAACGCAAAAATGACCCCATGCTGAGGAACGATGATTAAGTTGTTATATATAAGCTGAGATTCTGTAAATTCTGGTTTAATAATACTTTGATAAGGCTATTAACATTAAATAGCGAAACATCAGTAAAAACCATATCGTTTTGTTGTTCATTCATTAGGAAATACAAAAAAACCTTTATTATAGTGAATATCATATACCCTATGCCCAAATTTTTTCAAACTATTAAAAGTGAACTTGTTCATATTCTCTCCACACAAAAAATTCGATATCTGAATAATTGGATTGTGTGAGCTTTGGCTACCTATTGTCGTATTCAAAAGCAGTATAACGTAATTCTTAAATAATTATAGATTTCATCTGTCAAGTAGGATTTCGATAAACTGATTTTAAGCTGACAGATGTGTAGATTCATGAACTATCCGAGCTGATGAATGATACTATCTCCTGGTCATTTTCAATTTGTAGAGTTATGTTTACGAGTTCAATTCTTTGGACGGTCTTATTTCTTCTACTTTCTTCTCTTGCTTTGTGTGCTACATGGAGTGTGGCGACTTGAACTCCCGCACATATGTGCAAAGTTCTATGTCGAAAACGGACAGACAGACTGTCTCATGTGCACATTGCACAAGAGTTTGGAACCAAGGAAGTAGCTCCCTAGTGTTCTATAGCTGGTGTCACTTCATGAAGTCTACCATAAGGGGTATATACTTTCTAATTAAACGGAATTCTGTATATGTATCTGAGTTACTGTGAGTGGTTATGAGTCATATTTTAATTTTCCTTCCATCGTTCCCCAAATTCCCGAATCTTAACCACACAACAGTTCTGTGAGTGCCACTCTTTATGTGTGAAAGATATCCACCGTGAGTAGGTTGTGTGTTTAGATATCAAGTCTTGACCATTAGTATTTGGTAGAACCATTACAAAAATGGTATAGTAATGGACGATTTAGATAAATTGCCCGATGATGTGCCTGTGTAATGTATCGAGTTTCTCTACCCAATATCCGTTTTAGCTAACATTGAGCATTAATGTTGATAGTGAGCGACCTTGATATCACATTTTCTGCCCTACAAACAGCCTGGTACTACTGAGTGTGGGTAGACCTCGGTCTTCCTCTCTCTCGGAATGTTCTTATTCGCATTCATACCTTCTGCCACCAGATAAGTCCTATTTACTACCATCACACAACAAAGGTATTCTTTACAAAAGTGAAAGGGGAAAATAAAATGTCTGGTGCTTACAACCAGACTTGTGGATGCGCACGTCTACCCACCTAGGGTTGAAAAACCCTGCTTCCAAACCAACCGTGTATATGGGGTCCAGAATCTGAAAGGACAGAGTGGCCTATGAACCTGTTTTGGTCGGAGGAAACCATGGGAATTTAGCTCCCGACGCTAGTCTACTGCCTTGTGGATCAGATTCGAAGTGCCTATTAAGACAACCATCTGCTTCGGTCTAGCCGTCCGGGCGGTATCCCAGCCCTTGTACAAACTGTGAAACAATTTCGCTTGGCACCATCTTTTACTGCCTATAATATACCAAGTCTATATTTTATTATTTATTATTTTATTATTATTTAATATCTATTTATTTTGACACCGCATAACTAATCTGTTATCCTACGTTAAAAATGTATCCGCCGCATAACTGGCCTTTATTGTAACGACCACAAATATTATATTCTGTAATTGTAAAAACCTGAAGAGAAATTATTGAAAAGAATATTCTTCGTTCAGATTGACTTTTAATTCATAATATGGGAATATCTCACACTATCAAATCTTACATTTTAATAAATAAATAGAATTTCCTCTTCTTTTATATAACGTCTGACTGTTATTCTTTATTTATTTAATTTTGGTGAGCCAATATCTTTGTAGGTGACTGCTACATTCTCTTTTTGTTCTGATTTATTTTAATTCTCTTTTTTGCCACTTTAGTTATTCATACGTTTGTCCTGATTTACCTAAAGAATTTAGTAAGTATGACAGTGAACCAGATAAATGGATTAAACCTCATGTCGTTTCAAAATCGGCTAAGTACCCGGCCTTTTCTGTTGATGTTGGCTATGAACGTTTCCTAGGCCCAGAGATATTCTTCCACCCAGAAGTAAGTAACCGCATATATATATATACATATATATACTGTTTCCATTGCAAAAGTTGTGAAGAATGATGACAAAGAAAAACATTTTTTTTCATCACAAATTAAAAAAAATATATCCGTTACTGGAATTTTGTGTTAGCCAGATATTACTTCCATTTTGACAAATACACTGACCAATGCGCACTGGCTCTGCGCTTAGCCATTTGTTTTAGAAATTTCAAATCATTAGAAATGCCGTGGGTGGGGTGGCGGCATCATTGAAGTGCAAATTCACACAAGAACCACTCAGGAATGGATATAACATTAGGAATACTTTAATTTATATATATATATGTTTAGCAAGCTATGTATGCAGTTTGACAACGAATGGTTGCTTAGTTGAACTTGTTGAATACACACAAAAGAAAGGTTCGGCAACCCTGACATCCGTATGGCAATGCTATACTAAAGGGTCCAAAGGGATGAGAACGCACGAGTGACCTTGAGTCGACCGACCATAAGAATGGGTGATCTTTGCACAAAAAAATGAGGTTTATTTACAAGAAAATGCATGAAAACACATTAAACATGGTATCTTTTTCTGTCATGACTTAAAAATACGTCCCATTTATAATGAGGAGTATCAGTTTCTAAGTTAGATCAATTTCTGTACATATATTCACCAAGGTGACTCAAGGTGAGCTTCTTTTGTGACCCATTTAACGCTCTTATCCTGTTTTGCAGTCCTCCCGAAAGCCATTGGTTGAATTAGTATGGTTTCCAGTAAGAGAATCAACGACTACTAAGTTAAAAAGTGTGGATTATAAAACAAATTAAAATGAATAATACCAACTCCAAACCTATCACTAATCTTAACCGTTATCCTCAATCCTAACCCTATTCCTAATCGTCACCCTGATCCTAACCCTAATGAGCTATTAACACTTTGTCCAAACAATACTTAAAAACGTGATCTGGGTGAGATTTCCTCGGTAGCTGGTGAATAGCGTTCATATTTGCGCTATAATAATGACAGGTGTCGTAAACCCATGACTAGCATGCGTTCAAGTTTATTGGAGCGTTCGCATCCTTTGGGTTCCTATAGTTTTACTTCCCCCTCCATATGAATATAATGCTAGTTCCACTCTAGCAAAATATCGAAACTGTTTGTAGAAGTTAAATGTTCTGTCTGGTGATGAGTTCGGTTCATATTTATGGGACTATGAAATCTAGCAGTTAAAATAACATAAATTAATAGTTAGAACTAGAAGAGTTACAAAGGCTTTATGCATTAGGTCTTGACTGGTTTTTCTCGAATCACCTACGTGTAATAGAGTTACGATGTAGGAGCGCAATAGGTAATATGAAAATCCTTTTTCAGAGTTACAGGTTAGTAAATCCCCGCCAATACATAAGTTAATCTGAAGTAAGACTATAGGTGGCTATGGCAACATTTTATATAATCTCTCACCACTTGTTTGTATTGTGTCAGGAATTATAAGCTTCCTGATTGGTGTCTATGAAACATTAATTCCATGCCTCTTGCGTCGGTGGCACAGTGATAGAATGCTCCCCAACCACGCATGTGGTCCGGGGTTTGATTCCCAGCCGACCCACTCCCTTACCTCGCTAAACCAGCAATAAGACTGGTAAAGAGGGAAGGTTAGGCATGAGGCTAGCCACCCCATCCGATAAAAATAAACAGCACTTTTACCGAAACTTCAAATCTCTAGGTTCCACTAGGAACGTAGAGGAATAGAAAAAAAATTCCATGCTTCATTGATGAAGATCAAAATAGATCACATTAAGGCAGAAAGGTTACTGCTTATCTCCCTTGATAAATCACATGCCTTCATTTCTTTAGTTTTATTTACCTCTGTCTATGTGGCACCAGCCTGTGTAAACGTCGTAAGATTCTTGATGTTTATATCTTCTTCTGCATAAGACTATGTTATTCATATACTGTAGGCAAATAAGGGACTTCAGCCAGTGAAATCGCTTCATTTAAAGTTTGATAATGAGAAGCGAAGACCTTTAATCATGCCATTCGACTCAAAAACTAGTGTTTAGTTATTTTCCCGACCGAAAGCTTCTACCTTGATGTGATGGTTGGGCTTGAACACCGCACTGACCTAATCAAGCTATACTGGCTGAGACTTATGTCTCTTGAGGTTCTACCATGCCAGAAAGGTTGTTTGGATAGCGGTTAGACAAAAAGCAGCTACCCAATCCAACACTGTGATACATACAAACTCACAAAATATCATGCCGGATCGGTCGGGGGCCGGATTAACAACGACCGCGCTTCCTGCTGCCGTGTCACAGGGCAGGAGTGATAAATATTCTACTGAGACACACCAAACAATAAAGAACAAACGAAAACAGGCCGCGTGTGACCGGCTTCAAGCAGTTGTCCCCTGGGCTCTGCGGTCACGCAACCAACTTCCACGGTGTGGGCAGCCGGGAAGTAACAATCGCCCTCACAATCCGAAATGCACACGAAACCTCTCTAATCCTCACTCATCTTTGTTTTCATCTTCATCTCTATTATCTTGCCTTCCTCCACTGATGCAACTCCTCTACTTGATTGCTCCTCACTTCCTCTTCACTCTGTGTCCACTAAAAACGACGGAAGCCAAAAAACCACCACCGATAGTCTCCTAAAGCCACGCCACCAATTTCATATAGGAGCATTTAATGTTAGGACACTTTGCCAAATAGGACAACAAGCATCACTAGCCAAGACCCTGGCATCCCGAGCCATTGATGTATGTTGTGTTTCAGAAACACGCATACAAGACCCAAGTGTGGTTATTCACCTAACCCCACCTGGCCAACAGGATGAATCTGCAAAATTCACCTTGAGGGTGTCAGGAGATGCCACAGCTAGTTCACGAGGATTAGCTGGCGTAGGGATAGCTTTGAGTACTAGGGCAGAAAAGACATAACTTGACTGGATCCCGGTAGATAGCCGAATGTGTGCTGTCCGTCTGAACGGATCAGTAAAAAGGAGAAAGGACTGCACTACTCGCCGATGCCTTTTCGTAATCTCCGCCTACGCCCCCACTGACTGCAGTTCGGATGAAACGAAGGATGAGTTCTACCAAAAGCTGTCTAGTTTGGTGCGAAAGGCTAAACGCTCAGATATGGTCGTTCTAGCTGGTGACTTTAACGCTCAAGTAGGGAAATTGTGTCAATCTGAGAAGGATGTCGGTGGCACCTATGGAGTTCCGTGCCAGCGAACCGACAACGGTGACCGTCTCCTACAGTTCTGTTCAGATAATCATTTGTTTCTTGTAAGCACTAACTTCAAACACAAGGAGAGACACTGTTTGACCTGGCGACCACCTTCATCAAACCAACGCTGGACACAAATAGACCACATAGCAATAAGCTATCGTTGGCGTGGGTCGGTAGGAGATTGTCGGTTAAACCATCACGTCCCCAGCTCGACCAGGAAACTAAATCCGTATTTGAGGAAGAACTAGCTAACCACATATATGAGTTGGACAGCTGTGCTCACCCTGAAGAAGCCTGCAAGAATATTCAGTCGGCCATAGATACAGCTGTTAATAAGGTAAATCCAAAGGTGAGTAAAATCCATTGGATTTTGACTGCCTAATCCGAACTGATAGATGCTAGAAGACTTATTCCGGCGAGCTCCGAATTCACTGAGGAGCGAAAGTTGCACAGAAGGAAACTTACGAAAAGTCTCCGCAAGGACCGTGAACAGTGGTGGGTGACAAAGGCGAAAGAGATGGAAAAGCATCGGCGATAGGCAACACTAGGCATCTCTTCCGAATCATCAGGGAAACGGGTGGGAGAAGGCAAATCATAAGTGAAACAATCTCGGAGAAAAGTTGCATCATAATTAGCTCCCAGGATAGACGCCTTGAACGCTAGAAAGAACATTTTGAGGAACAATTAAACTTGCCTACAGCCACACTGAACCTCTCCGCCATCCAGCACACACCCGAATGGGATATAGACACAGGTCCTCCATCCCTAACTGAGGTTACTAAAGCTGTCAACAATCTGAAACAAGGCAAAGCAGCGGGACCTGATGGAATCACTCCAGAGGTATTTAAGTATGGTGGAGACAGTTTACTGTCAGCGTTAACTGAGGTTCTAAGCAGCGTCTAGGAATCAGAAGAAGTCCTATCGGATTGGTGTAAGTCACTGATTATCCCCATATACAAGAAGGGAGACAAGTCTTCCTGTGATAATCACAGAGGGATTAGCTTGACTAATATAGTATCTTAAGTCCTAGGTTCAATAATCATGCTTAGACTGAGCAGAACTCGGGAGAAACAAACGAGGGAAAATCAAGTAGGCTTTTGACCAGGTAGAGGGTGCATAGATCATATCTTCACTCTCCGACAGACTCTAGAACATAGACACACTTTTCGGCATCCAACAGTTGCTATATTTCTTGACTTGAAGGTGGCCTTCGACTCTGTGGATCGAAAGGTATTATGGCGATGTTTGACTGTGAAGGGAGTGCCAAGAAAGTACATTGCACAAATCAAGGCACTCTATTCAAACTCACGCAGTCGTGTAAGGGCTTATGGGGAATTGTCATCTGAATTGATAACAACCGCTGGTGTCTGACAGGGATGTCCACTTTCCCCATTTCTGTTTAACTTCATCATAGATATGCTAATGGAAGTATCCTTAACTGAACTTAATGACTTAGGAATCGGCTTGTTACCAGGGAATAATCTTATGAACTTAGAGTATACAGATGACATAGTCCTGTTAGGGGAGGATTCTGACAAAATGCAGAGTCTTCTGAACACCTTGAGCAACGATCTTCGTATGTTTGGCATGCGATTCGCCCCTGTCAAATGTAAGATGCTGCTACAGTGTGGTGAGAGCAGGCTGCTAGCCGATTGGTTGGCACTAATCTACGTTAAGGTCTAGGTCACTAATATGGGCCGTGAGAAAATATGAACAAGCCTGAGTCAACAACCAATCACAGCAAAGTTAACGTGGCAAAATATGATTCGCAGAGAGAACTCTATTTGTCAAGGAATCCCGAAACAACCAATCAGAAGCCTGCGTTTGTCTACCTAAACAACCAATCAGATGACTGCGCTTGTCTATAATAATGTAGTTGAAAGATGTATAAATACGTGTTGATTTTCATAATAAAACGATCTGTTGCCTGGCCCTTGTCTTCTGTTGTTACATTTGGTGTCGCTGCCTACCGACAAATGAAAAGCCTATACCCTGCAGTTTTTGATGGAGACATATGGATCTTCGGGCAGGACTTCAAGGCTTCTGCGCAGTTGAGTGGCGTTCAAGATCTGTCAGCGATGGAGCTGCTACTTGAGACGCTGCTGGGAGGTCGGGCGAAAGCAGCATATGAAGGTGTGGGCCGAAGTATGGACGAATGTTCGACAGGGTCAGGCAAACAGTTTCCAAAGTGGGAAGGACCATATATGGTCACTTCGAGATGGGGTTACGCAGACACAGTCGCAATGGCGAACAATGAGAGGCGCGTGAACGTCAGCGAGCTCCAGAAATGGATACAGCGAGACAAGCCAACGATGACGCCTGCACCAAGTAGATCAAGCCGACTTCAGTCGCACGTATTTGACGGGGGGACGAGTGTGGTGAGAGCAGGCTGCTAGCCGATTGGTTGGCACTAATCTACGTTAAGGTCTAGGTCACTAATATGGGCCGTGAGAAAATATGAACAAGCCTGAGTCAACAACCAATCACAGCAAAGTTAACGTGGCAAAATATGATTCGCAGAGAGAACTCTATTTGTCAAGGAATCCCGAAACAACCAATCAGAAGCCTGCGTTTGTCTACCTAAACAACCAATCAGATGACTGCGCTTGTCTATAATAATGTAGTTGAAAGATGTATAAATACGTGTTGATTTTCATAATAAAACGATCTGTTGCCTGGCCCTTGTCTTCTGTTGTTACAACAGGACTGGACTACGTCAACTCCTAGCTTAGTGATAGGGAGTGAAGTGATAGAACATGTTGACCACTTTGCCTATTTGGGAAGTTGTATTAGCACCAACGGACTGATTAACGACGAAATCTCAGCACGGATTCAAAAAGCTCGAGCTGCTTTCGCTGACTTACACCATCTCTGGCATAGGCGTGACATCCGGCTATCAACCAAGGGACGTGTGTACTGCTCATCAGTTCGCTCCGTCCTTCTCTATGGCTCTGAAACATGGCCAATACGAGTTGAAGATACGAAAAGGTTGACTGCTTTCGATCATAGATGTCTGCGATCCCTGTCTCACGTTAGGTGGTTTAACAAGGTAAGTAATGTTGACGTTAGGCGTAGTGTTGGGCAAAGAGGGAAAATCAGTCGACGAGGCTATAAAGTTACATAGATTGAGATGGCTAGGTCGCGTGCTGTGCACGCCTAACCATCGCCTCCCCCGACGGGCATTACTAACTAGCTGATATAGGTGCAGGTTGGAAAAGAGTAAGTGGTGGCCAAACAAAAACATGTCATCAATCCATGAAATCCTTGACAGTTAAACTGAGTCAAGTAGGGAGATGCAGACTTCCGGGTTGGGGCCCTCGGGACTCTAGGAATCAATGGCTGGAGACAATAGGTGACATGGCTCAAAATCGTTGTCAATGACCAGCGCTGATGTATTCAGTCTCTGTGATATTTCATATTTCTTTCTACCATTACCCATTCTGTTTCACTCTTATACCTGTCAAACTTGATTCTCTTCACTCATCTTCTTGTCTACCTTAATGTGCTATTTAGAACGTGGCAACTCGAAGTGCTGCACTTCGGTGCCAAGTTCTTTGTTGAATCCAGACAGAGACAGTTTAGTTATTTATTTTAAGCATTTACTCATGTAAGAGCATTCATGGTTATTCAAATGGATGTAACTGTGTCTCTGTAGCATACGGATTCATTAACATACTCATTAGCAGCAGATGTCTGTCCTTATTCGATTAACTCGAATGTTTTATTTGTTTTTTGGTTTATTTATTTTCATTTTAGTTTGTCAATCCAGACTTTACGACTTCATTAAGTGATGTTGTTGACGAAGTGATTCAGAAGTCACCTATAGACTCACGTCGTGGACTTTATGGTGTAAGTTGTTTTGCTGTTGTTTTTTTTGTTGTTGTTTACAGATGATCAATATTGTTCTCTGTTAAATCTTCAGTTTTAACTGGGTACATATTCATATATATTGAGTATCAAGTTATATCTGAATAGCTAGGATACCATCTAATTACCGAAAACCTTGGTAGATGCTATTGGGTTTACTAGCACGACCCCGACTGATAGCTGCTAACTTGATGTGGTCATCGGGTTTGTATATAGCAGTGACTAAAAAGAATGTTTCTGTAGTTCGTAGCATGTCAGAAAGGTCGTCTGGATAGTGATTAGGCTGAAAGCAGCTGCCGTCAAAGTTGCTTAGTCGCTCACATTATGTCAAAACACTGAGGATGAATATGAATGTAACAGCAGTAATGTGTTCCCCTAGGATGAGAAGCGAGCTATCTATGCTGCTTCTCCGTAATGTGTAGGGAGAAGGGGTTAGAGAAAGTAGACCTTGAAAATTGTACATCCCAATCTACCTTGTGGTTGCTTGTAGCCGGCAATAGGATCCTCATACGGATACAACTTCGAAAACTAACAGTTTGCGTAACTGGACTTAAGCATATTAATATATGTGTAAAACGTGGACACTATGGTAGTAATTAACTCCCTATTAGTTTGTTTATTAGATGTATCACACATTGAAACAGTATTATTTAATAGATGACGTTTTGAACAAAATTTATTGTTCATAATTATATCAATTATGATCACATGACATCGAATCTTGAGTGATTATAATTGATGTGGTTATGAACAATAAATTTTGTTCTAAACGTCATCCAGTGGTTAATACTGTTTCACTGTGTAATGCATCTAACAAACAAACTAATATGACTTCAAGCAGTTGCCCCCTGGACTCTGCGGTCACGCAACACTTATGCTCAAGCTCTATCAGCTATTCCAAAAAGAAAACAATTTTCACTATGTGGGCAGTCAGTCAGGGAGTGGACCCAAAAAGGGAAATGTTGAGTGGGGCATCCGAGGGTGACAAAGAGATAGTATGCGAAGGAAATGAAAGTTTATGAGCAATCGTGGAGCCAGCTAAAAAGACTTCAGAGAACAGAGTGAAATGGAAATGTGCTGTTGGAGCCCTATGCTCCACTCGGGACCCAAGGGAATAACAATAATAACCATTTGTCAAGGAACTTATCCCTAGATTCTTATTGTTACGAAGACGCTCCGCACCGATAAGTACTATGTACTTTCTTCGACTTTAACTCCAAAACACCAATATTCTAAGAAGAAAGTTATATTGTTTGACAATTAAAGCGGAAAACAGTAAAAGTCTATAAACAAATGTTTTATACAAAATTATGAAGTACTTTTATTCGTTTTTGGTCGTCCTCGTGGAACTTGTACACGATCGAAGCATTCGCGCCTTCGAGTTGCCCACCAATGGCTACCAGTTCCAAAAACAAACGTTCAATGTTCACCTCCATCGACACCATCTATGAAAACCAGTTAACGTAGAAATAATCTAATGTGTTATTTTATAATTTTCACTGTAGCATGAAGAACGCGACATTCAGTAAAGAGACTCCTATGAATGTATTATCAAACTGTGCACTTGTATGTATAGGATTCTTAAGAAACTATATCCCAAAGAGTATGAATACCTATACTAGTGTAACAACAGAAGACAAGGGCCAGGCAACAGATCGTTGATTAAAGAAATCAACACACATTTATAGATTTTGATAGCGTTATTAGAAGACGGAGACTATCTGAGAAATGTGATGTATTAGCGCTATACATTTATAGATTTTCATGTACATTATTATAGATTATTGTTAGCGGAAAAACACTGTCTTCTGATTGGTTGTTTCTCACAGAAAGTTAATCTTTCATCTCTTTGTGGCTGTTTCTTGAATATCAGTCCATCTATATGTTAACTGTATCCGCCTACGCAAAGCCTTTGTTTTCATTCTTCTCACGACCGATACTGGGGACATGAAGATTGACGTAAATTACTGTCCACCAATCTTGGCTAACAGCCAGCTCTCACCACACCAGAATAGTATTGTGAAGTATGACAAAATGTTTGTGATGTTAATCACAAATTTCAGTATCAAATGATGAAACAAATTGAGTGATGCATAGAATAGTTCATAAAATGTATACATCCTGGAAAAGGGGGTGTGAAGTTGTTTGGATTAGTAGGCAAATGGAAACGCTACGTAGCCTGGTGAGAAGTTTAGCAGGACAAGTTGAATAATACGGGAGACTGTTTAAAGTGAAAGAGTTAACAATAATGGCAATCTTTATAATAGTGAGGGAAAGGTATGCGGAATAAATGAACAAAATCAAAAATAAATTACTGTTTATATCTCTCTACGACCAAGGTAGAGATATACCGACTGTACTTACTTCCTTTGTACACAAAGGTCTGACTTGAAATTAAGAATGGCCAAGATGTCAGCTGTCTCTCTAAGTTTAGAACGAAGAAGACATGGATAGGATAGATGATCTTAAAATCATAATCGGGATTGGTAGAGAGACAAGTTGATCAGGAGTGTCACACCCTTCCTTTCTCCCCCTATGCTGGAATATGTTCTCGCATCCTGACTGACTGTCTTCAACATGGAACTTTACCTCGCCATTGCATCCCTACCATCTAATGCCAACTGATTGACGCAAGAAGAGTAATTCCGGCGAACTCCGATTATGATGAGGAGCGAATACTCGATAAACGCAAGCTAACAAGAAGTCTTCGTAACTGCCGTGAACAGTGGTGGGCGACAAAAGCAAAGGAGACGGAAAAGACAGCGGCGATGTCGGTAAGTTATGCTTGGCTCTAGGTCAGTTAAACTGCTCCTCGAAGTGTTCTTACCAGTGTTCCAGTCGTCTGTCTTAGAATTAATTATGGTGCCGTGTTTCTCATAGTTTGTTTCACTTATCGTCTGCATTTTCGCTTATAAGTCTAAATAGTTGTCTGTTGTTACCAATCGCCGCTGCCTTTTTCGTCTCCCTTGGTTTTCTCGAAAAATACCCATTTATTCATAAGTAAAAACACAGTTTTTGTTCAGCGAAGAAATTTCTTTTCAACGACTTCATTTTCAAGCTGTACAGTCGTATTTATATTACAGAAAAAGGTTATTAAGTGGCACTAAATAACTGCTCAGTCAATGTACGTATATGTGATAAAAGTTATAAGGGGTAGAGTTGAAGTGGATAAATTACAAAAATATTAAAGATTGTATTATAAAAAAATGGCACTAAATAATTGATCAGTCAATGTACGTATATATGTGATAAAAGTTATAAGGGGTAGAGTTGAAGTGGATAAATTACAAACATATGAAAGATTATTCTATAACAAAAATGTCAAGTGTTGTCTAAAAAATTATGAAAATTAGGAGTACGATTACGATAAGAATGAAGATGTGAAGTGAAGTGGAAAGAATTCAAGTGGTAAAATAAAATAAAAGCTAGAAAGAAAATTATTATGACCAAGGTAAAGAAAGGGGTATGACAAAACGCTTTTGAACACATAATTTAGGTTTCTGTTCATGTATAGCTAAAGCTTCGGCTATGCATAAGTGCAGAAAACGTAAACTTTTGGATCGATTGGATTTTGCCATGTATATAACTTTGAAGGATGAATCACGTGGGGCTAAATGACCAGACTCTAACAGGTGATCACAGATAGACGACTTTGCAGTTCTACGTTCGCCTTTCATTAACCAAACCGGATAGTGTTCAGCTACACGTTTTCGGAGATTACGCTTACAACGTCCAATATAAACAGCTCCACAAGAGCAAGTAAAAGAGTAAATGCACATAGATGTGGACAAAAGCGGTAATCTATCCTTGACGCATTGTCTAATCATATTTCGGCTGGTAAAAACTAGATGCAAGTCAGCTGCAGGAAAAGTACGTTTAATACATTTAGATAAACGATTTTTAATCAATTCTGAAATGGTGTCACCTTTGAATGCAAGACTCATAAACAGTTTTTTCTTTGGTACTGTGACTTGTCTCGGGGTGGATTCTTTCTTGATGTTACGTTCAATGAACCTTTTGGGATAACCATTATTAAGGAGATTTGATCGAAGGTTGTCTAGTCCCTTGGTTTTGTTGCCCACCACTGTTCACGGTCTTTACGAAAACTTGTTAGTTTGCGTTTATGTAGTTTTCGCTCCTTATCAGAATCGGAGCTCGCCGGAATCACTCTTCTTGCGTCAATCAGTTCGGATGAAAAGGTAGAAATCCAACGGCTCTTAATAACTTTTTGATTTAGGTTATGAACAGCTTTTACTGGGACTGAGAGTCTCGATCTAGTTGGAAACTTTACTGTTTCGCTGCCAGCAATTTTTTATGTCCGTTTAGACGCAAGTATAAACTGTATGCGGACCAGAGCGTGATCGGAGTCTACGCACGTGTTCCAGAAGGAGCGGCAGTCTTCTTCTAATCCTCGTCAAGGATACCTTATGGCTATGGGGTCTATCTGAGTCCATCATTGATTTGGTGATGGAAGTCTCCAGGTTACGCAATGTCTCTCTTTGTGCCTAAAAGTAGTGCTGACTAGGAACAGATGATTATCTGAACAGAACTGTAGAAAATGATCACCGTTGTCTGTTCGTCGGCAGGGAACTCCATACGTACCACCTGCATACTTTTTAGCCTGGCACAACTTCCCTACTTGGGCATTGAAGTTGCCTGCTAAAACAACTATATCTGAACGTTTTGCTTTTTGCAGCAAATTAAACAGTTTCAGGTAGAAATTATCCTTTAGTTCATCCAAACTGCAGTCTGTTGGGGCGTAAGGGGAAACTACGAAAAGAAAACGACGAGTGACTGCACATATACGACTGTCTGTTGGGATCCAGTCAAGAATTGTTTTTTCTGCCCTAACGCTCGATGCTATCTCTACACCCGCGAGTCCTCGCGGACGAGCTGAGGGGTATCCTGACACCCTCAGATTGAATTTTGCAGATTCACCTTGTTGGTCTGGTGAGGTTAAGTGAATGATGACACTCGGGTCT